GGAGTGGATTATCCTTCCAAGTTCCTTTATTTGTGTTTCTGTGTGTGTGTAGGAGGAAGAGGATAGTATTGTTGGAGGGCTGGATCTTCACTATAGACTATAAATCTGGGCTCAGTAATAAGGACAGTTGTATCCTTTCTAGGTGATTTCAACCCTGAGATACTATTGTCAAAAAGGGAGTGGATGGCATTGTGTCTCCTAAGGAGGAGTCATTTTAATAGAGGGCATGATAATAGTCTTAAGATTCTCAAAAAATTTCAGTTTTCTGCTCTTTGGGTATAAGCAAATTATTTCTATCTTTGTTAGCCCTGGAGGATTGAAGTGAATTAGTACACAGACTTCAAATCTTTGCAGGAGGAGAAAGGAACCTTCTTTTGTAAGGAAAGGTTAGGGCTTCTGCTGTGGACATGGGTGATTTATTAGACTTGGTTTTTGAGGAAGGGTATCACCCAGTTAATACAGTGTTCGATAAGAGTATTATTAAAGTAGTTAGATTTGCCTCATGATTTCTGCCCAGTAGTCTTAAATGCAAAACAAGATTAATTTGAATATACAGGGAAGAAAAGAACCTTGGGATTGACAAAGGCTATTTTTTAATTTATTTTTATTTATTTTTTTAAAGGCTGATAGTATCAACTAAAAACTTGAAATTTGTATCTGCCACACACAGAACAATCTCCAAGTGTGCACTACATTCATGGAAGTACCTTGGGAAATTAGGTCAAAATAAACTGACAGAAACTATGAAACAAACATGATAATGATAATAAGACATTTATTTTTCATACTCATTTGGAAGAAATGGGAAAAGTCAGTTTGCCCTACCTAATGATAGTCTTTCTGAAAGAGTCTCCATTCACTCCATAGAATTGGGTAGGTGGCTTGATCTCAGAAGATTTTGTAGTTAATTAATAAAGAGAATTCCTGTTGAAGAATGTGGTCAAAGGGTGAGTCTTTGTGAGCAGCTTCGCTGGTGCACAGCCAGACTCCCTCTCTGAGTGAAGCTTTTCCCACATTGGCCACATAGATACGGTGTCTCTCCTGTGTGGATTTTGCCATGCAGTATGCAATTTCCTCTGGTATGGAAACTCTTTCTGCACTGTACACAGGCATATGGTTTCAGGCCTGTGTGGACCCTGATGTGGACAATTAAGCTTCCTTTCTGACTGAAGGCTTTTCCACACTGATCACATCTATAGGGCTTCTCGCCACTGTGAACTCTTCTATGAACAGCAAGGTTACTCTGATTCCTGAAACTTCTCTGACAAATTGCACACTCGTAGGGTTTCTGTCCAGTGTGGAGTCTTTCATGAACAGCCAGACTTCCTCGTTGACTGAAACTTTTCCCACACTCCTTGCACTGATAAGGCTTCTCTCCTGTGTGTATTCGCTGATGTGTAACAAGATTGCCTTTGGCCCTGAAGCTTTTTCCACAATGGGTACACTCAAAGGGCTTTTGACCAGTGTGGATTCTCTCATGTAACGTTAGGCTACCCTTTTGCCTGAAGGATTTCCCACATTCCTGGCACTCATAGACCCTCTGTCTCACACCAGGTGAATCTTCCTGTAGTGCCTTAAAATCTGGGGATTTTTGTTCCAGCTTCTCTCTTCTGAAAGAATTCTGGAAGTCCCAGCTTGAGGATCCTGTGGCCTCAGTGTGATCATATTTGTGGTGGGCTTCTGTCATCACATCTGGTAAAATGAGAGGGAAGCCAGGTAAGATGCACTAATATGCTGAGTGAGAAGAATAGGGAAGAAAGAAACAATGCTTTGTTGAGTGCTTATTATGTGCCAGACATTACACAGTGAACTTTGCATAGATAATTTAACAGTGAAAACAATCCCATGAGATGCTACAGACAAGGATATGAAAGCATAGAGAGGTTGTCAAAGATTATGCATTTAGGTTAGCATAGAGCTGAGATTCAAACACAGGCATATTCCACTGCCTCTGTATTTTGTTTAATTTAGCCTCCCAAATAATCTTGGGATACAGGATCACATAGAGCCCCATATCCAAATTTTATCTGACTTCAAACAGGTGAGGATCCAGGTTGGGCAGGGCCTAAAGCTTTAAAATTTTGGAGGCACTTCATTAGGAAAAAGTACAAAAGTGGGAACAGGGCCTTGAAGAGACCATGCAAGAGAGGAATCCTGAAACTTAGATTTCATTAGCTTTCATGAAAAATCCACTTCTGTACTAGTCTGCTTTCCTGACAGTGGAGTAAACTCCATGACATCATAAAATATGTAGTAGAATACTTGGTACTTTTAAAAAATATATATATATTTATTGATTTTTGAGAGAGAGAGAGAGAGAGAGAAAGAGAGAAAGGAGAGGGATAGTGAGAGAAACCTGTATGAGAGAGAAACATCGTCATCAATCGGCTGCCTCCTGCACCCCCCGCCCCCACAGGGGATTGAGCCCACAACCCAAGCATGTGCCCTGATGGGGAATTGAACTGGAAGCCTCTTGGTTCCTGGCTCTATGCTCAACCGTTGAGCTACACCAGCAGGGCAGAATCCTTGGTACTTTACACTTATTGTCTCTAATCCCTGCAACTCAGCAGGGTAGAGCCTGTTGTCCTGTTTCATAGATGAAGACCCTGCAGTTCAATGAAGTTAAATAATCTGTTGATACTCCAGCTTGAGCCAGAAAAACTACAGTATCTGATCCAAGGAATTTTTCCCTTTCAAATTCATTCTACTTCAGTCTACTAAGCTATGGTGGAATTGAAATCAGTTTTGGTTTAGAAGTTATTCTCAAACAATTCCTATGCAGCTGTTGACAGTATTTTCCAATATTGCCCTGTATCCGAGTCTTCTACTGCCCTTTAAATATGGGTCCAATTTATCACTACCCTGGATTAACAGTTTCCTTGGAGTCATCCTAGGGCAGTGGTTCTCAACCTTCTAGCCCTTTAAATACAGTTCCTCATGTTGTGACCCAACCATAAAATTATTTTCGTTGCTACTTCATAACTGTAATGTTGCTACTGTTATGAATCGTAATGTAAATATCTGATATGCAGGATGGTCTTAGGTGACCCCTGTGAAAGGGTCATTTGACCGCCAAAGGGGTCGTGACCCACAGGTTGAGAACTGCTGTCCTAGGGAGATTTTTCTCATTGTTCCTCTGCCTTACCCTTCCTTACTCAGTGACTGCACTGAGATTTAAAGCTGCTCATTCATTTTCTGAGAAACTACCTCAAGTTTATCTCCATATCAGGATTGTTTTCTGCTGTTTCTACTGTTATTTCTAACTCGAACTTGCAGGCTTTTCCTATAACACCCAGAAATGGTGAGCTCCACGCAGGAATGTCTCCTCTGCATCCTCAGCCTGCCAACCAGTGCTGAGGACAGGGACACTCCATATGGGGAGCTGAGGGCATCCCAGTGATCAACTGACTCACTCACTGAAGAATGCTACATTCTGGGCATATCGTCCATGACAGTCCAGCAGGGTAGCTGTTGGAAATCCAAACATGTCCACTCCTGCTGTATGACCTTAATCACCACCTCTTCATATGCTGCTTCCATAGGCTGTTCTTGAGCACCTGAGGAGGAAAACACCGAAGAAACAAACAAAAACAAAATAGAACAAAAACAGGAGAGGGCAGGAGAATTGATGAGTGAAAAGATTAAAGTCAGGAGCTCGTTTGAAGTACGAGTAAATGGAAGACTCTGGATGGACTGATGTAATGTTAGTCACTTATAATGTAACAGAAAAATGGCCTTAAAGGTACCATGACCACACACAAATGAGCCCGGGGGGAAGCAGGTGGAAAGGAGATAACATGTACACACATATCTCTCTCCTCCTGCCAATTCTAAGATAATGGGCACTCCTGTTTGTTCCTTCGCCTTGGTATGTGATTATAATCTTCTAATCCCTTCCCCTATCTAACCATCTGCTATTTGGATAGCCTCCAGAATATAAAAAACTCAATATTCAGACTTCATGATTGGTTCTACGATAGAAATGGCTGTGGTCCTCCTCTGCAGTTCCCCCTAAGTTATAAGGACAGAATACGATATTTCATATGTTACCTTTAAACAATTCTTAGGAGGCTCCAGATCCAGACCTTCCTCTCTCCTACTCTTCAAGATATGAGGGAAGTGTACGTACTTGTCAGTACTTGGACAAGGAAGACCTACTTTGGATTCCAAAACCTAGCCCAAGGCATTCCAACTAGGGTGAGTAACTTGCCCAAATTCTCAGAGCCAGTAAGGAGTCAAGGTTGAAGAAAGATTCAAATCCAAGGTTTTCAGTATACAAAGCCTATGCCTTTAGACTAGACAATTCTCTAGTTCCTCATCATTAAAGAGCTGGTGGCAATTTTTATAACATGGAACAGAATGGAACAGGGCTTGGCCAGACTTTACTACTCATCTAGATCCTAGGAATTCTCTTGCCCCATGTTACCTTTTTCTATTTTTTCACTTTGGAATATTTTCTTCTTACCAGGATCCTGATTGCCACATTCTTACACATTTTTACAGTGGTTCTGGTGTATAATCTTTGTTTCCCTCCAATATGTCTCATCAAAATGCTGGCCACCCGATTTAATGAAATGGAAGCGTGATGCTGCAGTTCTTTGCTTTGTTAACAGAAGCACGTGGTCTTCTTGTCAACTGCACATTCTGCTGCTTGTTATGGTGACTGAAGAGGCATTTCAAACTCTTACTTGGAGGACTCACCTCTAACTGGGAATACAAGCTGCAAAGGAATCCCTGATACTACAGGACATTAATTTGGAAGTCCCAGGTGTCACTGCTCAACAACTGCACATTCACCAAGAGTCAGTGGGAAGCACCTGGCACCTGCTGACTGAGGTTGGACTCTGTCCCTGCGGAATCCAGCAAACAGAGTTTGGTCAGAACAAGTGGGTGGAACTTACAGCTCTGCCTCTTCACAGACTATGAGCTCTTCAACAAGTAATAAACTCAGCTGCATCTCAGGAACTTCCTTGATTAAGAAAGGGAAACTCTTATTTTTCTCCTGGCATCACATGTCTGAGGAATTAATTTCCTGCAGAATTTGGAGACAGTGGCTTTGTCATAGAAAATATTGCCTTTCCAAGCAGAATGGCTATTTACCCTTTGGAAAGTTCAGAATTGGGCCATGAGAGACTTGGATTTCTGCCTTGGCTCCCCACTCCCCCTTGTGACCTTGGGCACATAACCAAACAATCCTGCCTCTATTTCCTCACTTATTAAGTAGGTTAATAACAGTTCCATATCAGGTAATTCCTGGGAGAATAAAAGAACCAAATGTGACAATACCTATGATTTAAGGCCTGAAGTTGACAGCCCTCAAGGAGAGGATGAGAGGAGGGGGTGACTGCTGTCTCTGGGACCTCGTGGGGCATAGTTTCAGCATTAGAGATTCTGGGCGGGGTGACTATTTTCTCCACACAACTGAGTCCATTTAGTCCTTCCTCCCATTTACCCTCCCTAGAGAGACTGCAAGTTTCCTGTCCATCTGAACCCTCACGCAGGCCCAGGGGACACCTGTCTGTGACCGCCCCCTCCCGCGACTCCGGGATGTGGGGCCTTCCACACGCCCTGCCCTGCACAGCGGTGGTCGGAGGGACCCCTGCTCCTAGGGGCTGGCTTTCCCTCCCTCCTCAGCATCCCCATGCATGCCCTGCGTGCCGGCCCTCAACCCCACCTCCAGTCCAGCTGGACGCTTCCTACAGCCGCAGACTTCTCCCCTTGCGGCTGGCCTCCTTTGCAGCGGGGCAGGCTTGCCCTGCTCAGGGTCGTGGGGGCAGCAGGGGGCCCCAGGGGCCCCGGGGGCCGCCTGCCAGCCTGGCCCTGGCTCACCTGGGTGCCCTGACCTGCCAGCAGCCTCACTCACCACAGCCGTGCAAGCCCACGGACAGACAAAGGCCAGCGCCGGTCCGCAGCAGCGCGCCTGCGAACAAACCAGACTACAACTCCCAGGAGGCTCTGCGTAAACCAGCCCTGCAGGCCCTGGGCCTCCGCGGCTAACTTTTTCAGAGCACTGTGGGAAATGTAGTTCTGGGGGGAGCCAGGCCGCTGCCAGAGGTGGGGACTTGTTCTCAGACTAGCAGAGCCAGGGGGAATGGACAACCTGGTGAAGCTGTCTGCTGAGGAATATAAGGTTCTTGCAGGGCAGGGTGGAAGGGAACAAAGTGTTGGGGAGAAGTTGATTGATAAAGCCTTGGGTATTTAGGGGTTATGTGTTGAGTGCTGTGTTAGATAGGACAAGGGTCCCAAGGTCTGGGCAGTTTTTACTAAATGTTATTCCTGCTAAATGTAAAAGGCTAAGCCTCCCTTTGGGAGGTAGAGCTTTGGGTATGAATCCCCTGTCTCCTTTACTTCTGCAAGTAAATAAAACTACCTTGCGACCACGGTGGCTCGATCTTGAACAGAGCACCCCAAGAAGTGAACCTGAGTAGGTAACAAATTTGGTGACTTCAGATGGGCCTCTTAAAAGGACTCCCTCTCCACCTGGTGTGGATGCTTGGCGAAGCAGCTGGCAGGTGCCTGGGTATGTGCTGGACCGAGGACCTTTCTCTGGGAGACTCCCGTGTGGTGCTGACCACCAAAAGGGCTTCCTGGCCTGCCTCACAGGGAAGCCGAGTGGCCACCTGAACCTGTTTCATTCAGCACTTTACTAGTAGAAGGGAGGTGGGTAGGTCAGCCTAGTGGCTGCTTTAATTGGCATATCTCATTTTGGGTATAGGGTTGTTGGAGAGGTAATTTCAGTTTTGGTTTGTGCTTGGTTTCTGGTTGGTTGGGCAGGAACTGTCTCTGAGAAGATAGATTCAGAGCCCAACTTCGGTCTAACTCTGGGGAGTCAAGGAATGCCTGTGGAGCAGTCCAAGACATTCTCGGGTGACAGTCTCTGGTCCGGTTGTCTGATTGTTCTGCAAAAGCTGGATTTTGTTCTTTGTGTGACCTTGTTTGTCTTATATGTAAATGTACTGGACTTGCAAAATGAAGCAGGCAGAATCAACCAGGTGCATGTATTTTGAGTAATAAAAGCCAAAAGGTAGGGCTTCCTAGCGACAAGGTGTGGGAGGAAGGTGGAAATGACACAGGGAAATGAACTGTTTTTAGAGTGGTCTTAACAAGTAATTTACTGGTTTCATGTCCATTCATTTGCAGGATGGTTTTGAGATCACTGACTCTGGGCAAGTGCACAGTCATTCATTCCCTGTCAGAGCCCAGGCAAGTCCAAAGGCTCATGAGACCTCAGCTTCTTTTCTGAGCAGCAGCCCATTAGCTCCCCCGCTTCAAAGCTATGGGGTGGCTGGGGTGGGGCAGGTTGAGGTGAGAGAACTTGCTCTCTGTATCCACAGGCAGGATGAGGTGCTTCTAAACTGTGTCCCATTGCTGGGGAGTGACCCCCATTCAGCCCTATAGCTTTGGCAGTCTGCGGTCAGTGGAATTGGCTGACCTGCATTAGCTCCCCCGCTTCAAAGCTATGGGGTGGCTGGGGTGGGGCAGGTTGAGGTGAGAGAACTTGCTCTCTGTATCCACAGGCAGGATGAGGTGCTCCTAAACTGTGTCCCATTGCTGGGGAGTGACCCCCATTCAGCCCTATGGCTTTGGCAGTCGGCGGTCAGTGGAATTGGCTGACCTGGGCACTTGCCCTACTGTGGAAGCAGCAAGGTGGAGCCAGCCCAGTGTTTGTCAAAGGCTGAGGCAGCTACAGACGTTTAGGAACAGAATACTGCACTGCTGAGGTGTGAGTTGGAAGGGAGACAGGGGCAG